TCCGTCCGTCGCCGTCTGAGATATTTATTTAGCTGAGGAACTCCCGCCGTTTCCCCACCGCGGGAGCGCGCAGGAGGCTGGGGACAGGAGGCCCTGGCAGGTCGGGCCGCGGGACTCCTCCTGTCCCTTCCCTGGGTCCGTACCCACCCGAAATGTGGGTTTTATTCTAGGGCATTCCAGCGTATATCTTCCTAACCATTCTTCGGGACACCACTGCAAACTCAACATGTGATATCTGAAATTCCCCAGAGACTGGGGTATAGTTGGTGCCGTGAAACTTCCCTGGCTCCTGAGCCCTGGGCTTTTACAGCGTTAGAGGGGGAAGAGGAAATTTCTCTGTACATTTTCGTCTTCACTTTTTTTTTTTTTTTAACGTAATGAAATTAAAACTTTTGGAGCTCACAGTTGACATTTTGCAGAAAATTGAGTTATCAAGGCAGTAATTATTTCACAGGGAGATAAAACTCTCATAGCCCTAACTGTCAAATAGGGCCCTTTTCAGATTTTAATTACAAAATAAAATTAGTCTGCTCTTCCTCGGAAGGGTTTGTGAGTGGCTAAACAGAGCTTTCCCCAATACTGGTGGTCGTCAAACTCTGCTAATTAGCAATGCTGAGAAATTCCAGTTAACAAGGACATTCTCTAAGTCTCTGCAGGTTCCCTGCCGTTCGCCTTCATTTCCATAAGAAGATTAAGAGTGGAGGGGAACACACTCAAATGCAGATGCAGAAAAGAAGCGTTTTTAACAAGCATCATAATAGTAAGATGCTTGGCTAGTTCTCACCTAATTACTGCAAGTTAAACCTCTATTTGCAGCTAAGGACAAAAAATGGAGCTGCAATCTCCCATCTCCACAAGACTGCTTAATAGTTTGCTTTAGATTGGTTACTAGTAGGTTCAGGAAAAAAATAATATGAAAATGTGTATATTCTTTCCGATACAGTTAACACGATAGGTTGTATCCTTGGGGCTTTTAGAGAAATCGGCAAGTATTAGAACAATAAATACATAAAATCCAAGTAGTTAACATTCATTTTCTTTTTAAGAAACTCATAACCTGGAAATAAGAGTGCGTGTACCGCAGAGCCCATCACTGAGAACATTTGCAGACTATTTGTTTAATGTAAGCACTTTTCATTTCCATAAATTATACCAAAGGCAACGATTTTTTAAATCCACTCAGATTAAACCATCCCTCCGCAGGCCTCCCTTCCAACGTGGCTACATTCTTCCAGCGAGTGGTGGTGTTATTGTCATTAACACAGAAAATCAGGGACCATTTCATCTTTTTTTATTTTATAGCCAGCATCCCGGTCTGTCTCTGCTTCCGCCTGCGTGTGTAGATGCTCCCAACCAAGTACACCTCCATGCCCAGAGGAAAGGGAGAAAATGCCCCAAAAGAGCCATCGTCCCCACTTTATTTTCTGTAGGACATTATTATGTATATATGACCGATAGTTTATTGCATCGATAATTAAAACTGTTAATTAAAACAGAGCTGTAAATACTCCTGATAACACAATTGTTAGGCATTTCCCATCCTTTATTCGTACGATAAGTGCAATTAGGAACGGGCCAGGCCCCGACAGGCCTCCAGCTCACCGGGCACCCACAGCCCTGCTCCTCCCGCGGCCCCGGGTCGAGCACCCCACGCACCTCCCGCAGCTACAGCCCGAGCAAAAACAACACTTGGCTGGTGCACCACCAGCCCTCAGTTATCAGTTTGTTACGATGAACAAACACCACTCACCTCCCTCTTTTCTTTCAAACTTAATTATCCCTTGATTTGATTTTATTTATTTATTTTTTTTAAATAACGTTATCAACTGCAGACCAAAGGGAGAACAATGAGAAAGTAAAGAGCCGCCGTGCCCTCGGGAATGTCTGGACAATCGGAATCCGTGTCTATCCCACATCTCGTAATTTGCACCTGTTTTTCGACGGTTTAACCTATCACTTATCTACGGGTTATATATACATTTTCGAATTAAACACATTAAACCCGACAGGATTTATTTGCATAACCCCCACGCAGAAAAAGATGCATCCTCGTTCGCTGGCTTCTTCTTCTTCTTATTATTATTATTATTATTATTATTATTATTATTATTATTATTATTTAGATGGGCTGTAATTGCCCGGTCCCTTCTACCCTTCTACCCCACCCCC